TGAACACCTGTTGCACCGGTACTTCGTAGCGCTGATTCTTGGCGTCCCTTATCGTAAACCTCACAATATTTTCGGTCATATATTTAACGGTGAACTTTAGGTTCTCGATCGACGGCATAGACTTCAGTGTCTTTTTAGCGGTCTCTTTGAGCTGTAGGTCCGCCTCCTGGCCCTCGTCAGTCTTTTTGACAGCACTGGGCAACTGATAGCCTACTTGTTTAGTGTCCAGATAGCATATGGGCACACCGTCAGGCCTTTTAACGGAGTCCCATATACAGCCCCTGTCCTTACACTGTTGTTCATTTACTTGCATGTCATCTAGGTATATTAATATTTTATTTTAAAAATTAAATCAAATACATTGAAACTAAATTTTAAAAAAGAGTATATAATTTATTTATAGTAACATAATGTGTATATTATACAGGTTTCAAAAACACTTACAAAATTGTTGTAAATTTGCAATATATTTAATAATATGTTTATTAATAAATTAATTAATATATTAATTAATTTAATTTGAAATCTATGTTTCTAATCTAAAGTTACACTAACATTAACCTAATCTAGCCTAGCCTAACTTATCCCTACTTTATTATTAAATTACCTTAAAAATAACTAATTATAAAGTAGTTAAAAATTATTAATTTTTATGAATCAATACTTACGCTCCAAATAACAGTCCAAACGATTGTTTAGGTCATCGGCTAAGCAGCCGCTAAACACTAAAACTAATAACACAAACAATTGCATAGTTTTTAATGTTAGCAAAACTAAAAGTTAAATAAAAAAACTTTCACTTTAATGTAACATAAAACTGAAGCACATTACACGACCACCTAATTAGGTGCTACTAATACAACAATGGTTTTAATCACTGACTTATATATCTTATTATATCGCATGTAATCCTATGGCAGGGAAAGTTGGTTAAGATGTTTGAGTGCAAAAAGTTTCAAGTGTTTGTACGGTAGCATATATATGCCACAAGCATGTTATCAAGGCACTTTAATGCCAACAAATCACTAGGGTATTGAATTATACAGATTACAAATTATTACAAATAGTAATACCTATAGGCTATAACATTATTGCCTACTTTTGAAACTCAATGTACTAGGATATAATAAGTTTATTAAATAGTGATAGATATTTTTTGTCATGAATACAACTATGCCTTATAAAAGCGGCGCCAAAAGGGTTGACAATCGTTGTATTAAATTAACTATGGGTTAGAATTGAGCTAGATTAAAACAAAATTTTTTGCAACTATTGTTTTTTGGCACGAATAGACTCGTATGCCAACTTTCCCCTAAATCTTAAGGGAACGGTAGCTACAACACATTGCTT